AGTCGGGTTAATCAGCGATTACTGGGGGGTGATGTTCCCTCGTAAGAGTTGACAAGGTATTGCTACTTTGACATGTTTTTTGGCTGTTTTTAAATGTTATTGTTGCAAATGTATTCAAATTGTCAAAACTTAAAAAAGCAATGGGCAATGGACACACAAAAAAATATTGACTTGAAGCAAATTGAACGGCTGCATCTTTGAGCCAAAAAAGTTCTTGCCACTAGAAATAAATGAAAGTGATTGTACTTGTGTTTGCTGACAGACAAACAGAAATGATCCAGTAGTGTTTAGTGAACGTTGTCAAACAGGACACCAATTTGTCGAACAGTACTTTCCAATTTGTAGTACAAGATCTTCATCTTTGCCTTTCCCTTCAATCTCAACTTTACCTCTAATTTGAGCAGTGGAATGAGTGCACTGTCTGGTGCAGTGTAATCTGCTCTCTCTCTCTCTCTCTCTATTTCAAAACTGGTCATCGCACTCGCAAATCACAAATTTATTGGAAAGTTCTTTGACATGTGAAATTAATTACTGGTATTGCGCTGTAGTGCACTGCAATAGTGTAGCAGGACAGTGTAGCAGGCGATTGGCTGATTTTTGACAAATTAAATTAGAGTGCGACGGCTGCGTTGAGTGCCGATTTCAAGAGAAAAAGAATAGCCGACATGTGACATTGCTGGTAATTAAATTTCATTGCTTTTCTTTTACTGTTGATCAAATAATGTTTTAAAAGGATTTACTTGTACTCAACACAAAAAAAGATTAAAGTAATTTTTTTTATTAATTTTCAATTTTGTATACTTGATGACCAATTGTGACGTTGATTTTTTTAAAGTTAAAAATGATATTTAGTTTTTTTGTTTAAAAATAATGGTTTTCAAAATTCAACATATGTTTAATGGTAATTTAAAAAAAGATTTTTGTTTAAAAATGTAAATTTTTTTAACAATTGGTGTTTTTAAAGTCATTTTTTGTCACAGCTTGAAGCGTTTTGCAAAGTGAAATGCCAAATTAAAATAAAATTTCAATTTTTTAGTTTATTTTTTTTTGTTTTGTGAACGTTTTTTTGTTGAATTTTAAGTAAAATGATAANTATTAATTTTCAATTTTGTATACTTGATGACCAATTGTGACGTTGATTTTTTTAAAGTTAAAAATGATATTTAGTTTTTTTGTTTAAAAATAATGGTTTTCAAAATTCAACATATGTTTAATGGTAATTTAAAAAAAGATTTTTGTTTAAAAATGTAAATTTTTTTAACAATCGGTGTTTTTAAAGTCATTTTTTGTCACCGCTTGAAGCGTTTTGCAAAATGAAATGCCAAATTAAAATAAAATTTCAATTTTTTAGTTTATTTTTTTGTTTTGTGAACGTTTTTTTGTTGAATTTTAAGTAAAATGATAAAATTTTTGTTGAGTATCTTTTTATTGTCTTTCAATGTAAATATTTTCTTATTCAATTTTAATGTTTGTTTGCATTTTTAAACTAAATGTGTGTACAATACTAACAGTGTTTGTGAAGTTACTAAAAAACTGACTAGTTGTTTTATAAAAAATTGTATTTTTTCATTAATCGATTAAATACTATCACAAAACCACGTCAGTTTTCAATTTTACACCTTGATTTTTTATTGAAATGAGCTATTCTTAAACTTTAATGGATTTTTTATAAGTTTATTTTCTACAAAACAAACTCACATTGTTATCAAATAGTAAAACACTAATAAAAACAAAAAGAAAAGCTACGCAAGTGAAAAAACTAAAAAAGGTTTTACAAAATGAAAAATGAAGTAATTTGCATAAAATAGAGCAAGGTGTGGGGAGTTTTACACTTCTCTTCTTACGCTGAGTTCTTGTTATTACGATAATGGGCTCTATTTATTTTCAAGTTGTGCTGGCAGTTGCAGTTCTTTTTCTACAACTTTCCATGTATGTTTGTGCTTGAAAGAGATCTTTACGACAATTTGCACTTGCGCTTGTATTTCCATTTGCGCTACTGACGGAACTGAAACGACAACTAAAAACTTGGGTCCGGATTTTTTGTCGGAAAACATTTTTTGTTTTCCACTTTTTAACCATAAAAATTGTTTTTGTTTAAACAATAGAAATCCCCTACTACTAGAGGGTACAATTTTAAAGAACAGTCAAAAAAGAAGTTTAACCGTTTTTTGTCTGACAGTTAAGAAGAGACCTTTTTTTTCTCCCAGGGCAAAAAAGCGGACTGCTGATATTTTTCTTGTTTTCAAAAAATGCTGTTTTATCCAGGTTTTTTTTAAAAAACAATTTTTTATTAAAAACAACTTTTACACTGCTGGTAATTGACTGACGATTTTAAATTCACCCATTCAACCTTTCAAGCAGTCATTCAATCGCTCACTCAATCGTCGGCTGTTTCTCTCTCCCTTGTCTTCACCTTGAAAGTGAGCAGCATCTCATGGAACGGAGCAAACTTTTACTCTAAGCATAACACAAATTCCTTTTTATTTTTATTGTGCATTTTTTTACCAATACAGTCCACAAAAAAGTTTTTAACAGTTTTGAGCTTTCCTTTAGGTTTGCTTTCTCTTCTTTCTGTTTAGGCAGTGATGCAGCAACAGCAGCAGCAGCCAAATTTACATTCAACCACTGACGACATTCAGTCGTTCACTGACTGTCATTTGATGAAGACCAACAGCACCGAGCACATCTTCATCAGACTGAGCTTTGGCTCCATTTTTCCCCCGCCGCCTCCGCCTCCTTTTCCGGCTGCATTGCCGCCGCTTGCCCGCATGTACTTGCTGCTGCCACTGCCACCACCACCGCCGCCTCCTGTGGTTCCATTGGCAGAGGCTGCCGTGTTTCCCCCGCCTGCAATCGTCTGCTGGTCGTAGTTGTATGAGAGGTGCTGTGGCGGTGTCGCCCTCCCCAGCATCTTTTTGAAGGCGTGCTTGAAGTTTTCATTGCACAGTGCGTACAGACACGGATTCAGGGCAGAGTTGAGGTAGCCTACGAGTAAAAAAGAGAAAAAAAGTTTCAAATGTTATTATTTTTGCATTTAAAATGTTTTTATTTTTTCAGTTTTCTGCACCCCTCCTTCCACTTACCCAACCAGATGGTCACCTGATGGACGGTGAGTGAGACGCAGTGGGCGCAGTAGGCGGTCACCACATATGTGATAATGTACGGCATCCAGCAGGCAATAAAAGCACCCAAGATAACGCCCAACTGACGGGCGGCCTTCTTCTCCTGTCGCAGTCGAGAGCTCTCCTCCCTCCTCAGGGCGTGCCGGTGACGGGCCGCTGCGCTGACGGCCGACGCCATACAGGCGCACTCCTCGCAGAACTCATTGGCCGGCACGGCAATGGAGTCAGTGCGGCCACGACTGCTGCTGCTGAAAACGCAACCGCTGCCGCCGCTGCTTCCACCACCACCACCACCTCCTCCACCTCCACCACCAAAGTAGTGCTTTGAGGCAAATCGAAATGAGCTGTACGATCGCCAGGAAGAGGCCTTTGAGAGGTTCTGCTGCTGCTGCAGGTGCTGCAGATGATTCTGCTTTTTGCCTGGCCCACCACCACCACCCGCCGACTGCTTTGACTGCTTCCCCGACACGTACAGCACCGCCAGATTGCTGAAGGAGTTCAACGGCGTGGAATGCTTTGGCACTGACATTAGGGAGCGGTTACCTGCCAAAAAGGAAGGAGGGAGGGGGAAAGGAAAATAGTTGGAGTTATTATTATTATTATCGGAATTGGAAAGTTTGTGAGTTTGAGAGTTTGACGGAGCGAGTTTGATCAAACATGAAAGGGTTCACTTCAAGTGTGACTGCACTCTCTTTGCACTTTGGGCACTTGAAGGCAGTGCAGTGACAGAATACTTTCTTTGCCCGCACTTTTCTCTCCTTGTCTTTTGCTCTCCGATTCAATCAAGCTCAAACGTACCTTGCAAAGCCGCCTGAGCACTGGCAGTCGTCTGGACGCTGCCACTGTCGCTCGGTCGCTCCACGATGACATTGGAGAAGGTGGACGCCTGGCTGATGGACTTGGAGAGCGAACTGCCGCACATTGCACAGGTGGGTCGGCTGATGGCAGCTCGACCACACTTGCCGCCTACACTGTGCTCACGCTCAATGGCCAGCGCCTCATTGCGAATTTCGTCGGAGTTGGGCGATATGGTCGAGGGCGACTTCTTCATTCGTTTCGCCTTCTTTGAGCCGCCGCCCTCCGCCGCCTTGCTGCTGCTGCTGGCTATTTTTTTGCTGCCATTCGAGGAGCCGTTCCGTGATCGCCTAATGCTGGACGACCTTGGAGAGCTGCTTCGGCGGTGGCTGCCGTTGTTGTTGTTGTTGCCTGCCTCACTGACCAAATTTGCACCCTGCACTGGTTGGGGATTCGCCTCAGCGGTGATGTTCTGTTGCTGCGCCAGGACCATCGTTGCGGTGTTTGTCGTAGCGGCAGGCCCTGCAGCGGCGGTGATTGCAGTGCACATTTCGGACGAATCTGAACACAAAAAAGACGATTGGGAAAACAAGAGGAAAAATTAGCAAACACAATTGGTATAAATTGGTATAAATGTTTTTTATATTCTCCTCTGTTTCTTGTCAAACATTTATTATGTGACATTTGTTTCTCGCTTGTCTCCCTTTCTTGCTTTCTCTTTTTGTTTTTGGTGACAATTCCCCAGTAGTAGTGGGCGCCACATTGTAAAAAGAAACCTGTTTATCGTGCCTTTTGTGTGTGTGTTGTGTATGTTATATTGTCCGTTGAGGGTGATTTACATTTTAAATTCAATTTGAGCAGTGTTGTTTTCTAAGGAAAGGAAACGGGTCCCTGTTTTCTCGCTCTCAGTTTTAGACTGCTGTAGACTGACTTCTGCTGCTGTTGCTGCTGTCGAACCGCAAAATGTGCTGCCGCTAAATGTCAATGTGGTTCTGACAAATCTTATTCCTTCTCCCTCTCCTCCGCTACTGTAAATGGCTACACTCTCTTTCTGTTTCTGTTTCCATTGTTGTCAACCGCTTCTTTTCCTTTTCCACTTTGCTGCTACGTTATATGAATATTTATTCGCCCGCCACCAGTGCCGTTGCGACCATCGAGCTGACAAGGTCTGTCTCTTTTAGATGCTCTTTTGAATGGAAAGTTGAGGTTTCGCGACCAAATGCTTTCAGTTTGCAAGGTGACAATTCTAT